AATAAGCCTTTAAGACCAGCCAGTCTCAGACTTTGGCTACACTGACACATGCCTTACATGGTTTGCCACCTCTCGTGTGAGGAGTAAGTACTTGAGCAGGACTTCTTGAGGGAGGGAGGAGGTGTCCACCTGTTTTTTATTTGTACCCATTTTTTAAGGTGCAAGAATGACTTTATTTCATTTCTCAGCCTGTCATGCTGCTGCTGTTGTAGCGAACTTTTTCTTAAATTCTCCCGTTAATTTTCCTGTCACATGTTAGCGATGTTTTATTAATCACCTACTTTCCTGAATTCCTGCCGGGTAATAATTCTGTTTTATATGGAGCTTTTCCTGGGGCTGTCAAAGACTAATTATGCCCCATTAACTTAACTAATTCACACATGTAGAATGTTTTTTAATAAGCCAATCTTGGTCGTCTCTTAATTGCTAAAGACTGTAAACTCAATTACACTGAAACTGCACTGAGGATTTTCACCTTCTAAAACTTCCTGCAGTGCAAAAACATAATGAAAAGCCTGAGAGCATCAGTTAAATAGCATGTCTTATTTCCTTCCAATTTAAGCAGCACCATTCACTCCTAACAAATCCATCAAAAATAAAAACTCCAAAATGTATATTAAAATTTAAAAATTGAGACCAGGTTTAAAACATTGGGCGCACCTACACGAGTTGTTTACTGTGGAGCTGACACATGCAGCACCCAGGAGCTATGAACTTTGGCACAAAGTATTCCAGAGTTTATTCAGCCTCCTTGATTGCATGTGTGGATGTGTCCATTGTGTTCAGTTCATTGGTACTTTTCAAAATTAATGATCAAAGTATAAATTTGCAAGGTAACTTATTTAGTAAAATACATCATTCTTCCCCCTTTAGCAAAGCAGAAAAAAATCCATCTGTCCACCTGGCTGTTTTTGTTGATACGCAGCATCCCTTACAGCAATATCTGAGCATTTCTCAAGAACTGGCAGAAGTGGCAAGGTCACATGTTAGAGACAAACTGGTTTACAGGGGCATGTGCTTTCATAGGTAACAATCCACTTTGTCAGATGTTAATATGAAGCTAGTATCTGATGAAGTAGGTTGTTGCCTATGAAAGCACATGCCTTTCTGAACCAGTTAGTCTCTAAGGTGCCACTGCCTTACCTTCTGCCTGACTTCAAGTTAACGGTAACTATCTCTTCCTTAAGAACTGAAAATAACCAAGAATATCAGCCTTTTGCTTTCCCATCTGGAGAAGTAAGTTACTTGATTTATGGGCCAGAGCTTCACCTAATATAAACCTGCATACCTCCAGTGACTTGCACTAAAGAGCATTGGCTGGCCCTATATTGGACTTAGTGGGGTCTGAAAGCAGAGAAACCCTCTGGGATTCCTCGGAGAAGAAAAGGCAGAGTGACTTTGGACGGGGGAGAGGGAAGGGGAGTCCTTTTGGAGGCAGGCTGAGAGAATTTGGCAGTCAGCACTTTGAGATCAATAATGTTTACAGTTTTTGTTACATGTGGCTTGAAGGGAGTAGTGGAGGATGCTGAGTAAGCTTCCTCAAACAATTAAATTCAATAAACAGCTGGCATCCAGTAGAAATTGTTTGGAAATGTTCTATTTCTGAATTGCTCTACGCATGGATCTGGTGCTTTCACTTTCTCAGTGCTGAATGCATTTCTATAGAAATAGGATCACACAGCTGAAAAAAACCAAACCATTTGGTCCGGTCATTCCCTCTCCCCAGTCCAAGCATAATGTCAAAGGGAGTAACAGCATAATAGAAGAGAGAACCTAAATTTGCGTGGGAGGTGAATTTGCAAAGGAAAAAAGGGCACTTGAATGTTATTGAAAGCTGAGTAAGAGTTGCCTACTTTAAATCTCACTGATGCCTCTGAAAATATCCCTGGAGTCTTTGTGTACAGTGGCTAGGAGTCTTCAGAGATGTCCAAGGGTTTTAGACACCCAGTCTAAACTGAATATCAGTGAAGGGTTTGTGCCAAATATCTTAAAACTCCTTTGCAAATATCAATCAGAATAGTTTTCCATACAGCCATAACAGTGATGTAAAGGGCCTGTTACATTCAGGATTTTCTTAATTAGACTAAAAACTGAAACCCAAGAATGTGTCTTGTACCAAACTGTTGCCCCAGCCCCTCACCCCCATGAGCATTTTAAGTTACTAAGGAGTTGCACCAGAAGGTTTACTTTCTTCTTACAATGATTAAAATGTCCCCAAGCAAGTAGTTTATAATACAGCTTTGGAAAGTGTGGGGGTCTTTCTTTGGGGGGGGGTTTAGTAAAGGAAAACAAATGCTACCTGAAACACAGGACTACATTCTGATACTGGCTTCTATGATGTTTAGATTAAAGCAGCTTTACTAGGAAGATATATCCATGCCTGGTGCATGAGATATTGCATTAATCTGGTGACTTGCTAGTAGCGCTAAATTCAGATATGTACTGGCACCCAGTTATGAAAAATAATGTTGGTGGCAACTACATTTCTGTGGAAAAAAATATGGATGCATGGCACTGAAACAGTTTCTGCACAGAAAACATGACACTGTTTATGAAGAGCCATGTCTAATATTCTTTTCCAGTTTGGAAAGAGGATTTATTTTAATATATCCTTTTTTAATTGCTGTGAGCTGGACTTGTAAATATTGCAAGTGGTTGAGTAATACTCATCTGTTAGCAGACCAAATGAAGGGACATTTTTTCCACGCTTGAAGACCTGATGTGGTTCACACAGCTCTGAAGGGGATACTTGAGAGCAGATATTGAAGGGGAAAAAAAAGAAGAAAGTCTGTTTAATAATTCAAAGAGGGCTAAATCTGAGGAGAAGCCTATGTGTGCTACACTGTTGAGTGAAATGCATGGGACATTGTGCAGTTAGCCAAGAAGTTTTGCCAAGAGTTTTAATAATAGGGGATTTATTTTTAGGGGAGAGATGGGTTTATCATCAACATTGCTACAATGTACTCCTCTTGCAAGATGTGAAACTAATATTTCAGCTAAGAGAAGCAGCTAATACCCTTCAAAACATAAGGAAGATGTAGTGGTCTGGCAAAACTAGTTCCATATAGCCATTTATTTATTTATGTTTTATTTGTTAGATTTATATGCTACTCTGCGAAAAAGACTCGGGGCAGCTTATAATAAAAGACAAACAAACTTAAACATATGAAATAAGAGGGATGATTATGTAGCAACTCCCATAACAATACTCCAATTTAACCTTGCTTTGCTGAGTGCCAGCCCAAATGAAAAAGGGCCTTGCCCACTGTCAACTTAGCTAAGGCTTTCAGTAGTTATTTATTGTGAATCTGAGTAGGTTTTAAAGACACCTTGTTTCAGGTGCATTCCTTACTTGAATACTTTTAACACTCTTTTTTTGGCTATGGGTGAGGAAGTAGTGTTGTTTCATACCTGAGCAAATAAATTGTCACAACATTTTGGGAGCCTAGCCTACTATTTACAGCATCTCAGCTAATAAGATTTTTGGAAAGGAAAAATCACACAAACATGTATCTGCTGCATGGTTTGGCATAGCACTTGTTAGATTCTTTATTGTGGTCATTGCTCTTTGTTTTCCACAGTTTGTGCGTGTGTTCAACAAAACTAACATTTTGCTTTGCAAATAGCTTCCTCCCTCAGCTGTAAAATTACCTGTATATCAGCAGCAACTTCATCTGCAAGGACCCAGCAAGCTTGCGTGGCCATGCAAGGTTGTCAGACCAACCTGGGGTGATGCCAAGGGGTGATACTTAAGAGCCCCCTTTAGTGTTGCCCTTTGTGTGTGACCGAGGCCAAAACAGAGGGCCTTTCCTTTTCTTTTTGTTAAGATTCTTTTGAATTTAATGTTGCTTGTCAGGGTGGAGGAGAAGTTATGTGTGGGGCAGCCCTCTGTAGGAGGGGAGTTGCAAGCTTGGACGGGTCATTGGGGGAGGAGGAAAGGATCTCTCTGAGGATGAGGCAGGGTAGTGGGAGTTGGATGGACAGGGGGTGGTGGAAGAGGTTTCTTATATTTGGTTGTAACTGGTGGTTGAGAAGCATAGTTGGGATTGGCCAGAGCAGTGGTTGTCAACCTTTTTTGTACCAGGACCCATTTGTAAACTTGGATGGCTAGTCCCCACCGAGTGCCCTCACTCCTGACTTGCTGCACCCAGGCCCCCCAGTATGTGGAGCAGGAGGTGGATGTATGGAGGGCATGGTGAACCCCAAGTGGCCCCTTGCAGGCTGCAACTCTGCCAGCCAGCAAGGGAAAAGCTAGTTTCCCACGTTTTCTCCTTTAAAGGAGAATCCATTTTTAAAGTTTGTTTGTGACCCTTTCGTATATTCTTGCAACCCACGGATTGAGAAATGCTGGGCCAGATGGTTTGCTTGTAGGGAGGGACGTAGTAATTGGTTGGGGGGTGGAGGGGGTTGGAGTTTTCAAGTTTTGGGGGTGTTTGGAGAATCTACAGTTGTTCTTTCTCTGTGGGTGGTTTATTGTAAGCTGCTCTGTCCATGTGGGACAGTGCAGGATATAAATCTACAAGGTTTCAGTACTTTACTTTGTGCAGAGAGAGAGATTGCTAATTGAGGGTTCTGGTGGTTCTAAGAAGAAATTGCAGTCTTGCGAAGATTTAGGCACGTTAGTCTCTGCTTGGAGTCTGTAGAAAATCGGTACAACTAAGCAGGTTGATAAGTCTTCAGGACTGGGGCCCAAAGTAGGGGATGTCTCTCTTTAAACATCCACCCTTAGAGTGGCAAAAATAGTGGTCTTAGTGTCAGCCTTGAAAGCTTTAACAAAGAATCCTACCAAAAATAGGACTTTGCAGTTAAAATACTGCCCAGGTATCAACTTGAAAGGATCTGGCTTTAGTTCTAATTGAAAAATTTTTGGCAGTTGAATCCTCTAAATAGCACTTTCTTTCAAGGGAGAAGTAAAGGGAGAAACTCTAAAGGAAGTTTCTTTTAAAAATTCCTTCAGATAAACCTAAAGCAGTAATTTAATTTTGTTCTGTTTCTTCTAGGAATGCTGGTGGTGATTGTCTTGTTGCTGATTGCAATAGCAGTGGTTGCTGTCTGGCCAACAAAATAATATGAATTCAGGAACTGTCAGAGATGCTGCATATCAGCAGTGGAGTATGGATGACACCAGAGCAGAACAGGAGTGCAAACACGTTTTGTGTTTTAAAATAAACTCAACAGTATTAGAATGAAGCTGTGTCTGACATGCATCAGTTTCTGCACAAAGTCCATAGCCAGACAGTTGTGGCTACCTTGAAAAGGGCTCCTTTACTACCTGAATTTTGTATTTAAAGGAGGCACAACTGGAGATAGACACATTTTTTTTTTTTATAATTTACTCCTTGATGCACCCATTTCTAAGCAAATGATCATATAGATCTGCCATGCCCCCTCTCCCTTGTGTTGACATCAGCTGTCCTGAGGGTTTCAATTTTCTATAAACTCTTAAGACATGATTCTTGTAGTACATACATGGAGTTCTTTCACTCTACTGCTTGTCTTGAGAATTAAGACTTTTTCATCTTACGAGGACGTGAACGTTTTAAAGAGCTCATTTATACTGGATATCCATAAAGTCTGAGAGCGGGTATAACCCTACAACGATGTCTGATGGTAAGGTGGAAGGGGATTGATTTAGTATTTCAGATAAACCTTAGAAGTGCATTCAAGTATGACTCAGTTTTTGGCTGTTGTGAGAATTATCAGTGTTGATCTCCGCAAATAGAAATGTAAATAGCTGAGGGTCTTTTCAAGGTTTAGTATAGCCAGGTGCATACAAGTGGAAAACACTGCCCAAAATGTTCTCATAAGGAGCTGAGACTTTCTGGTAAGTGTGCTTTAACTTATACTGAGGCAAGTTTTAACACAGCCAACTAAACTGCAGAAGATAAAACAGAGTCCATGTACTAATCTCAAGCCCAGATTTCTGCTTCTCTTTCTTTTATAATGTTCCACAGTTTGCTAAACCTGTAATGGAAAATACAAGTATTTAAAACTCATTAATGAAAAAAAAATGTAATGCTTATTTCTGGCCAAAAACTATTATTTTCATATATGTGCCAACTTGATTGTCTGAATGGATAGAGCAAGCAATAGCACTGAATAAAAGTCAATTTGTTTATATATTGTTTTCTACTGGCTTTCTTTTTTCCTACTATGTCTTAATAGTTTCATGTTTAATCTATTTTTTAATGTTGCCATTATTTTGTAATGTCTTTTTCACATGCATTTTAATGGTTCCTGTAGCCCCAAGCTAGTCCTCACCTCATGCAATCTCAACACTGGATGATATGGATTTTTAAAATGAGCATTTGGTTCTTGGCACTGACAATCAAAATCCTACCTTATAACATCTTCTGCCAATGTGCCATAATGCAAGCCAACATCAGGGTCCATGACCAACTTACTTTAGAGCAGATACTGAAACTCTAGTGGTTATATGTGATATGGCATGACAGGGACACTAAGAGCTGAATGAATCTAAATCGCTATGTTTAGTTGATCTCTGCTCTGGAGCTGAAAAGAGCCCTACTATGTTACTGATCCCTGAGCTATTCAATCCCTGTGAATATTTCACTGTATAAGTAGCCAAAATTGGACGTGTTGGTTATATAGAAAATAGCCTTATAGGAGTAGTTCATATGATCAAACCATCACATAAATTTCTTTCTCATGACTATGGGAGGAGTAATGGGATAACACAGCATTGGATCAGGGAGTGAAAAATACCTTTGTCTTCCTTGCAGTAAACATCTAGTACTCAATGCATATGACTAACTGTGTCCCTTGGTGGAAACTGCCTTCATGTTTTCATCTGCCAAGAATCTTTAAATAATCCCTAGCCAGGAGGGGAATAGTGCCCTTTTATAATCATCCATCTTGCATTTCTGGAGAAGGCCCTTCTCAAAGCTCTTGAAGGGTCAGTTGCATTGAAATTCCTTAGAAAACAGGGGTCTTGCTTGTTTCCTTGAGAAAGTGCTTCATATTCAAACAGATGGAAGAGAAAGCAATAAATTTACTATCTTGCTTTTTACAAAAGAATAACATTTAAAAAACCACAGTATGTTTTCAATGTTTCTTTTGCTTACTTTTAAAATGTAAGTGTCTTCTAAGCACAATCATTCCAGACGAAAACAAAATAATTTAAGTTTTCAATATGGCATTAAGGTCTTCTGCATTCACACAGTTTCTGTGTTAAGGGAATAAATTGGAAAACCTAGTTAAAATTAACTTGATTTAGGAGCCTTTGATCTATTATGCCAGTACTATCTGAGAAATCTCCATTGGCTTCATAGAATAAAGTGAGATTTTGCAGAAATCAGAATTTAGACTTGTAGGTTTTAATTAAAACTATACTTTACTGGAAGAATTAAGGTTCTGTTTTAATTTCCAGAATCCATTAATCAGGATAACTTAGCCTCTCTTCTGTGTGATTTACCAGGCATGTTCTGATGCAGCCTTTTCAAAAGCCATCTTCTGATCTGTTGTAAACTTGAACATTTTTTCTGGTGCGTGGGGAAAGAGGAAAGCCTGCAAAGCTTATTGGTGAAGTATTTGCCAAAGTGCTTCTTTGCTTTGCCCTTTAAATAACATTGTACGTGTCGTGCGGGTGAGCAGTTTTATTAAAAACAGTGGAGTAAATTGGGCAGTGCTTTGATGTTTGAGTGGAAACTTTTCTGTTTTACTGCTCCCTGGAACGGTTAGGAGACCTAAAGTAAATAGCAGTGTTTCATTGTCTTCAAGCAAGTGGAAGCAAAGATCATCGGGTACTCAACTGGACTTCTTTCCGTTTTCAGTGGCAGTATTGCCAGTTACTGTGTTATCTAAGTGCATGAGTTTGGTTGCTATTTTACAGGGTGATTGGGGTGGGGGCAGGGACATGCGTTCAGCTGCAGAGCCTAGCAGCTGATATCAGTGTGAACTAGGAGGCAGGGCTTCCCTGGGTAGAAGGGCTAAGCCAGCCATAGTCCCAGCGACACTAGGAACCAGCAGACATGGGAGTTTGCTGGGAGAGTTTGCCTAAGCTACTTTTTAACCTTTTTTCTCTGTAAGCTTGCTGAGCAGAAGCAGGTGAGGAGACGGAAGGAATTTTTAGGAAGCAGCATTGGCTGAAGGAGAAAGAGGATTTAGAAAAGGAGCCATTGAGAGGAGCCCCAAGATGTTGCAGTGCCAAAGCCACTGCAACTGCCAGCAAGCACCTGTGTGCAGGCTCTGTCCGTGTGT